TTGAAACATTTGCAAGCAACACAGACCCCCCCCTTTTTCAGGGGGAGATAAACAGCATTAACAGTTGTATTGTTATAAAGTAATATCCCCCCCATTTAAATCTACATTAATTGTAAGAGTGTGTTTAAAAGCAAAAATTGGATTAGTTTTAACATTTTGTACTGTAGCTTTCTTTTCCTCAGTGGGATCATAAGTCTGTTAGGGAGCTGTGTGATCCAAGCTGGAGTTAAGTTGCGTGTGTACCGTTGACAGTGGGCCATTGGTCAGTCAGCATCTATTAAGAATAGCTGTGCTCTTTAATGTTCCCATCAAGTCCTCTATTGATGAGAGCAGATGCTTCAGATAGGACCCGAGTGGGTAACCCTCCTCCCCCGGCACCTGCAACTTCCCAGGAGCGTTGAAGCTTTATTTTGCAGGCTCATTTCATTTTTAGGTATTGTGTTTACTGTTGGCTTTGTGCCCCTCAGGGAGGGCATGGCTCACAGGCCAGTCTGATGGACATGGTGTAGCTGCCCACTGTGGGAAGTATGTGGAAGAATGTCAGAGTTCAGGGAGGGCCGGTAGGGAATGGCTCAACAATGGTGAAGGTCCATCTCACTTTTGGATGAATTAATACATGAGGTTTTTTTCCTGAAAATCACGGCCATTAGGGAACACCCTTTAGGATCCATCAGCCAGTGAAAGGCATTGTTTACCATCTCCTGTCCCAAATGCTATTGCCCAAATAGTTTCCATGGAAATGAGGGTCAGGAAGCCAAGTGGGCCTGTTTTGTTTTGGAGCGTGTAGGCTGAGGGCACAGTGATACTATCTAGATAGTAATAAAAATACTTTAACAGGGCTGGGGAGGTTACTCATCCAGTAAAGCACTTACTGAGCACGTGTGAGGACCTGAGTCTGGATCCTTAGAGCCTACTTAAAAACTGTAACCTGTCCGCACATCTACAAAGAGATGCAGGTAGAGGCAGGAGAATCCCCGGAAACTCACGGGCCTGCTAGTCCGCTGTGAGCAGCAGCAAACAGCCAAGATGCTCTGCCTCAAACGTGGTAGCCAGGGCTGACTCCGAGGTTGTTCTCTGACAGCCTCTTACTGTGGCATGTGTGTGTTCATACTTTCAAACATCAATGTGTGTGTATATGTGGATGTGCGCGCGCGCGCACACACACACACACACACACACACACACCATCTCATCTTACTCTTGAAATTCAGAGAATAAATTTCCCAAGCCACTTAGCTAGTAGATGTTGAAGCCTGTGTGCGCATATGCATTTGTACATGTGAATGCATGTACATGTGTGTGCATCCCCATGTGTGTATGAAATGCAGTGCGGTAGAAACAGGCCTCCTCTCTTCTGTCAACAGATATGCCCTGGGTCAGATTCAGCCTGACAGATGTGTATGCTCCACCTGGTGTGGCTTACACTTAATGTTTGTAAACGCCGGTCTGGTTTTAGCCGGGTGGAGTGGCCAGCAGTCAGAAGGTTGTTTTCCCTCCACAGGCGATGCCCAGTTTTCCATTAGTGCTGCTGCCCATCCGGAAAGAGCTACCTGGTAGAATGGCTTGCTGTCTTCTTGGCCAATGTATCTGGCTATGAGCCTTAAAAGCTGGTTGTAAAGTTGGCCAGGACAAAGGTAGCCCTGGGTGTCAGGCCAGCTCCATCCTGAGGTCACTGGGAGATGAAGCTTTCCCTAAAGAAAGTAAGGGTGGAAAGGTTCCTTGAAACCTTGTCATGTGTTTTATCAGGGAAGGCAGTAGTTAATAAAACCCAGGGCTTTGTACATGCTAGGCAATGACTGTTTGGTTTTGGTTTTTAAGACTTACTGTGTAATCCTGACTGGCCTTCAATTTTCTATGTAGACCAGGATGGTCTTGAACTCACAAAGATCCCTGTCCCTACCCTCTGGATGTTGAGATTGAAGGCATGTGCCGCCATGCCCAGAATAGTAGTTTTTTGAGACAGGGTCTCACTAAGTTGTTCAGACTGGCTTTGAACTCATTTTGTCACCAAGCAGTGCTTCAGCTTCCATACTCTGCCTCCACCTCCCATGTAGCTGAGGGTAAGGACCAGCACTGCCAGACCTGAATCAGATAAGCATTTCAGTGGTCTTGAGGCATTCTCCTTGTGCATCTGTCTCTGAACTGCCCACTTTTATAAGTTTACCAATAATTTGGATAAGGATTATCCCTGTGATTTCATTTTTACTTGATTGACTCTGTAAGGACATTATGTGGCTCGGTGGACAGAGCTTGCTTATAGCATACACAAGGTCCTGGGTTCCATTCCCAGCACATAAACCAGGCACAGTGGTGCATGCCCCATCAGACCTGCACTTGATAGGTGGAGATAGGAATATCTGAAGGTCAAGATTATCCTTAGCTACATAACAAGTTCCAGACCTATCTAGGATTCATGAGACCCTGTCTCAGACAAAGCAAAGCAAAATACTGTATACCAGTGGTTCTCAACTTGTGGCTCGTGACCTCTTTGGCGAACTTCATCTCCAAAAGTATTTACATGAGATTCATAACAGTAGCCAAATTACAGTTATGAAGGACAGTAAAAAACAACTTTATGATTGGAGGCCACCACAGCATGAGGAACTGTCAAAAGGTCACAGTGTTAGGAAGGCAGAGAAGCACTGCCATGTAGTTTCCTAAGGCCATACTCAGAGGTACTAGGGGTTAGGGCATACATTGAATTATAGTGGGACACAGCTTAATGTATAATAGGTGACAAGCAGCCTCCCTTGAGTCAGGCCCATATGGTATTTCAGGATTGTGGTGGCAGACTGTGAAGACGAAGAACACAGACCCTGCAGACTGGCCAGGTTCAAATCTTAGCTCTGCTGTCTCCCAGTGTGAGACCTCCATGTACCCTTGTTGGAGATGACTTCCTAATCACTGAGTAGGTCTGGTAGGTAAGAGGGCTTTTTCCGTAGGATTATGTTCAATACTAGATGGATTTAGGCTCACTTAGCTGGTACCTGGCACACCGCAAGCCCTGTGAATACATGTCCCATGGATGTTGTCACGGCCTTGTTACTAGTACATGGGTCTATTTATAGTTCCATGGGTCAGGAAAATGACTGCTCAGGATCCCTCGCTGTCACCAGCCTCTTGGCAAATCTCGCAAGCTGTAGCTCTCCTCAGGGGATGCTTAAATGCTTCTTTTGTGTTTAAACTGAAGAGGAATAGTATAATTTAGACTTTCTCTCTCATTGGGTTGGCTTTGCAGTACTGAGATTGAACCCAGAACTTCCTGCCTGTTGGACCAGAGTTTTCCCATTGAGTCACACCCCCCAGTGCTGGCCTTTTAGAAACCTTTATTCATGTATGTGTATATATATGTGTGTGTGTGTGTGTGTGTGTGTGTGTGTGTCTATATAATATATATTATATATAAACAAAATATATAATATTTTGTTTGTTTTCGAGGTAGGGTCCCACTATGTAAGTTTGACTGTCCTGGAACTTGCTATGTAGACCAGGCTGGCCTCGAACTCACAGAGATCCACCTGCCTTTGCCTCCTGAGTGCTGAGATCAAAGATGTGCACCACTATTCCTGGCCTTTATTGCAAAATTTCAGTGGGCTTTATCAACAGCCTTTGATAACCTGACAGAGCGCTTCTGAGGCCAGTGACAGGTGCTTATGGTATTGCTAAAGAAACTGTCAGATGTTCACACCTCGGCAATTATGCTCTTGCTTCCCAGCCTTTTCTGTTAAAATCCCTTTGGACTTTCAGCAAACATGAGCAACTGTAGCTTTCTTCTTCTTCTTCTTCTTCTTCTTCTTCTTCTTCTTCTTCTTCTTCTTCTTCTTCTTCTTCTTCTTCTTCTTCGTCCTCCTCCTCCTCCTCCTCCTCCTCCTCCTCCTCCTCCTCCTCCTCTTCCTCCTCCTCCTCCTCCTTCTCTATAAAGTACCTCAGACATTACATTGTCACCTTAACTGTTCTTAGGTGTACAGGTTGATGGCTTTGAGTGCGTTTGCATTACTGTGGCCCCCCTGCCACTGTCAAGACTCCCATCATCTCAAATTGAAGTTCTATACCTGCTAAATGCTACCTCCCCACTCTCCATCTCCTTAACTCCTGGCAGCACCCCTCACTCCCACTCTCAATGGGTGTGACTGGTCTAGGTACGTCGTGTAGAAGGTTGTTTTGCTGTGATGTATTTGGCTTATTTCAGGTAGGGTGTTATCATGGTTGCGCTGTATCAGAACTACCTTCCCTTTTAAAGCTGAGTAGTATTCTGTTGTGTATATATATTTGGCTCTGCCATCTGACAGTGGACATTTAAGTCGTGTCTGCCTACTGTGAATATTAAATATGAATATGATTAAAGAAACTTTATGAAAGTTGTGATCGGGCTGGTGAGATGGCTCAGCAAGGAAAGGCTCCTTGCCATGCAAGCCTGGCCTGAGTGTGATCTCCAGGACTCAAAGAAAGGAGAAAGGAGTTCACTGATCCCACAGAGTTGCCCTTTACCCTGCCACCTGCACGCTATGGCATACACACCCATGCACACACAACATGTAAAATAAAAACCTGTGATTAACATTTCCATATCTGTTAAGTTAAATGCACAGGCTAGAAAAGTAGAAAATGCCTCTGACCCCATCACAGGGCGTCTCCGACTTTAGACAAGAAGTAACTGCATGATATAATTTAGTTTCTATCTTCCTAGTGGTATTTTGGCTTTTATCTGTGAAATGAGATCATTTTAGGCATATTATTATGAAACCTGAGCCATTTAGAAAAATGTTTGAAATACCTGAAGGTATTTAATAGCTCCTTGTTTGAGTGACAGGCTGCTAGTGGATGCTGTTGGTGGGCACCTGTGCCAGGCCATGCTGGTCTCACTCCTAGCCACCTTCCAGTGTGATCAGTGGGATACGATGTGCCCGTCACTGTGGAACAGGCAGAGAGAAAGCCCAGGGCCTCTGGCTCCTTCTGACCCTGACACTCATCCTAATTGGACTGTCCTCCGCCTCTTCTAGGCAAATGTCTGCAGACTACGGCTGACTGTGCCTCCTGAGAGTCCAGCACCCCAGCAAACAGAAAAGAAGATTGAGAGGAAAGATCAGGTGAGCCTTCTTGGAGGCCAGGGCCTGTGGCTGGTCTAAATTAATGTGTTCTCCCTGCTCACCAAAGCTGCTCCCCAAGCTATGCATTGGCCGCTGCTGAAGAAAAGGCCCTCAACCTTCCACCCTGCTTTCCCAGCTGCCTCTGCAACCTTGTGCCCAGCCCTTGTTTCCTGGGGAACACCGTGGCTCTGGGTAACCTCCCAGCTGTGGGCACACTGGACTTAGTGTCAGGTGCTGTGGCAGGGAAGATGGTATTTCCTGGAATGGCCCATGCGGTGGAGTCAAAGGGCCTTTTGTAAGTTGCTGGAACTGGAGCACCAGGCTGGAAGGCTGGCTCTGGCTGGCAGGAGGAGCCCAGCAGGCAGCTGAGCATGGTCTTGGCTGGATACAAGAGGACACCTACAAACACTTCTGTGTCACTTCTGAAGTGAGTGATGGTACCATGCAGATAACCATGGCCCTACCTTTGCTTTAGAAGGATTTGCAGTTTTTCAGGTGGGACAGGTGTATACATAAACAATGGTCGTGTCATGTCCCATGTGTTCCTATCTGGGAACACAGAGGTAGCGCTAAGTGACTCTGGCAGGTGGCAGAAGTGTAGGCTTAACAAATAAATGGGAGGGCCTGCTTAGCTCTCCACCTGTGTTCCAGGGGGTGCCATTTTCTCATTCCTAAGCCGTGACTGGCACCTGCTAAATTTCAACCACTAGGACTCTGGTGGCGAACATACCAGTAAACAAGGCAAGGGCTGTCACTCACGGAGCTGATATTCTAGTTGGCTGAGAATGAAAGCAAACAAAATAATGATGTCCTTTCTGGAGAGGCAGCGTCAGAGAAAGGGATAGGCATGCCAGGCACTAGGCAGTCTTCTTCTGGTGGGTGTTTTATATGAACATAAAATGAAATAATAGGTTATAAATTTCATGGGTAGAATTATGAGATTATAACTTCTTGAAATGCAAGCTTCACTTTCTAGGTAACCAATAATGCAGTGGACCATGAATAAGGAAGCTCCCTGGAGACTAGTAGGAGGCTGCTAGTGTCCCAGAGTTTGTTGTGTGTATCCATCTCTCCTGTCCTGTTGTGCTCTTCTTCTAACTTTGTGTGTATGCATGTGTGTTCATGTATGTCTGCATGTGCCTGTTGTGGTCAGAGGCAGACACCTAGTGTCTGCCTCAGTTGCTTTCCATCTTATTTCTTCTCTCTGTCTCTCAAAATTTTCAATTTTTATTTTACATATATGAGTGTTTTGTCTGTATGTATGTGGGCAACACATGTGTGCCTGATGCCCGCAGAAGTCTGAAGAGGATGTTGGATCCCCTGGAACTAAAGTTATAGATGGTTGTGAGCCACCATGTGGGTGTTGGGAGCTACATCCAGGTCCTCTGCAAGAACAAGTGCACTTAAACTATGGGGCCAGTTTTTTCTAGCCTACTTGTTTGTTTTTCAAATAGGGTCTCTCTAAGTATTCCCGACTGTCCTGGAACTCAATGTAGAACAGCCTGGCCTCAAAATTATAGAGATCTGCCTGCCTCTGGCTCCTGAGTGTGGATTACAGGTGTGCATTACTGTGCCTGGCCTTATTTCTTGAGATGGGGTCTCTCTCTGAAGGCGGAGCTTACCAGTTTGCCATGGAGCTCTGGGGATTTGCCTTTTTTTTTTAAATGTGGCTGCTGATCTGAGGTCCTCATGTTTGCACTGCAAGCCCTTTGCTAACTGAGCCATCTTCCCAGCTCCCTCTGATCACTTTCTACCAAAGTCAACAAGTTATCAGTGATGATGCAAATGGCAGACAGGCAGAGGAAGTAGGGGAAGGTGAAGTTATGGCCGAAGAGCCATGAGAGAATGTAAACTTTGACCTGCTTCAAAGGAGAGGAAGTGTTTCACCAACAGCACCGGGAAGAATGTTGGTTCCAGCAGGTGTGCGTGGGCGGGGGGCACAATAAGGTAGATCTGGTTCTGGAAATTCAGGCAGCACCAGTGAGGTACTGGCCAAGGCCCTAGGAGATGGTTTTATTTTATTTTTTATTAAAGATTTGTTTTTTTTTTTATCTTGTGTGTTTTGCCTCTATGTGCATCTGTGTACCACTTGCACTTAGTGTCCATGGAGGCCAGAAGAAGGCATTAGATCCCTGGGACTGGAGTTACAGATGGTTGTGAGTTGCCATGGACGTGTTGGGAATCTAACCTGGTCATCTGGAAGAGCAGAAGTTACTCGTAATCTCTGAGCTTTCTCTCCAACCCTGATAACTCTTCCTAGTTAAATTGTTTGGTGTTCAACACCAAAAAAGATTAAGATCAGTACAAATTAAATAACCCTATTTTTTCCTTTTTTTTTTCTATCCTCAGACTTACTCTGTAGACCAGGCTGACTTCAAACTCACAGAGATCCATGTGCTTCTGCCTCCCAAGTGCTAGGATTAAAGGTGTATGCCAGCTAAATAGTCCCAATCTTTTGAGCCTCATAATGAGTTGGATTTTGGAACATTTTGGATTTTGAATTTTGGTGGATAGACATGCCTAACTGGTAAAATCCATACAAATATCCCCAACCAAGTATAAACAACTCCAATATCTGAGGCTCTTCTGGTCCTAAGCATTTTGAGATAAAGGACACTCAGCCTACCATGGATTCTGATATATTGAATAATAACAAAACTTCACAACCCGAGAGGCATAGAGGGAAGGGAAGGGGAGCTCGTTCTAAAACACTAATTTAGAAAATCTGTTTTAGAATTTCCAGATGGGCTCATCGATGGTTAAGGAACTAGTTAGTTACACATTGTCACCGAGTAGGAGAGTCACATGTAAAGTATGGCCTGCAAAGGAGCCGTGGACCTTAAGGTGGAGTAAAATTTCAACCTGGTGACCGAACCCAGCATTACCAGCAGAAGACAACCCTCAGAGGACTTCCAAAGTAATGTGATTAAGAAGTCCATGCAAGACCTGTGTAGTCTTCCATCTGAATTGTGTAATTGAATTAATAATAAAGAAATAGAAAGGTCCAAAAGTCAGCCCCTTCTTTAGAATGACTGGCCTGAATCCCTACCCATGAATTTGATGGTATTAAAAGCAAGATGAGCTTTTGTTGCTGATAAGTTAGACAGAGCGGACCTTGGTTAGATCCTGGGCCAAAAACCTTGTAACAGACATATTGATATACTTGCTGAATTTGGAATATGAGCCCTATATTAGTGAGTGAATGGATTTCATTTTTCTGCCTATGAAATGTGATTGAAGAGTTCTTTTGGCTTCCCCATAGCTATGAACACTCAGCAAAGGAAATGCTTGGTAGCTGTATTCATTTCATTTCTTTCATTGCTGTGGCGAACTGTGACAGATACAGTTTGAGGAAGGAAGCGTTTATGCTGGGCTAAGGATTTAAGGGTTCAGGCCATTATGGCATGGAGACCATGGTGGAAGGGACCTGAGGCATCTGGTCACACACAGTGCATCTGTAGTCAGGAAGCAGGGAGAGATGGAAGTGGCCCTCAGCTTGCTCCTCCCTTTTAATTTAGCCCATGGGACAGTGCCCACACAGTCAGGATGGGAATTCCTACCTCAGTTTACCCAATCTAGAGACTCCCTCACAGATGTACCTAGTACTTTGTATCCTAGGCGGTTCTAGATCCTGTCAAGTTGATCGTTGGTGTTAGCCATCACAGTGTTGAAGCTCATAACAGCGTGAGAACAGGGCAATGAGGCTTTCGGTACTAGACCCTTGTGATTACCAGGATTGAATGGGGCCCTCTTGTTGGGGGGCATCTCCTCCCCTTTTTGTCCTTATCTCTCTGTCCCTTTTAGAGCTGACGGCATCTGGGAAAGTTTGAGGAAGAAGCCCAGTCCAGAGTGGGTGATGGGACCAGGGCCACGGTAGCTGTGTCCATGTGTGTGGTAGAGTCAGAGGGAACGAGATGTTTCTGGGAGCTACAATCAGGGAAGGTTCCCTGGAGCAATTGTTCTCATAGAAGAACCAAACGCTCCCCAGGAAAGACTTTGAATGCTTAGTTGTGGAGTTTGTACTCAAGTTGTATGCCTGCCCCTCTTTTGTCTTGAAGAGTGCTTTCCGAATTAGCAGGCATCAGGTATCACTTTTATGTGTGGAGAGAAAAAGTATCAAAAGGTAAAATGAAAATTAAAAATAGCTTTATGCAACTTGCTAACAACACTGATGGTGTCATTTTCTCTGAGAGCGTGTGCAGATTGCTACAACTTGCACTAGAGCTCAAAGGAATATTTTTATGACAGATACTCATTCAATGTGAAACCATCTATTTGGGGAGAAAAAGGCCCTGACAGAATATATCCATTCTGTATTTCACCATGGTAATTGCAACTCCATAATAATTAAATTAGATGAAAATGACATTTATACTCAGAGCAGTCAGCAGAGAGGTCTCTTTTTCAAGAGGCACGTGGGGGTGGGGAGTGGAGGGGATTGGTGAGATGTTTCGGCTGGTAAAGACATCTGTCACTAAGCCTGACAACCTGAGTTTGATTCCCTCGGTCATACATGGTAGAAAGAGACATCTGATTCTTCCAAGCTGTCCTTTTCCTTCCACATGTAAGCTAGAATATATACAAACCCACACATGCAATAAATAAATAAATATTTCAAAATTTAAAGGAAGCGATAAATGACAAAAAGAAGCCAGATCCTACACCATTGAGAAACCACAGAACAGCTCTAGACTTGAAGAGAAAGGGCCCTTATTGGAAGATTTTATTAGTAAAGGTGGAAGACATACAAAGGAATGATCCTGCTTCCAAATTAAGTCACATAAAAGTGATAGAAGTTGTTGGACCAGGAAAGGGCACATCACTCCTCCAGTGGTGTCATTTCGAACCGCCTTAGTAATCAGAGTGAAAATCTAAGTCTAGTCCCCAAACTAAGCTCTGTCATCCACCCTGAGGCTAAGTACAGGCTTTTGGATTTATTTGCCTTTCTTTTTTTTTCTTCTTTTTTTTTTCCCTGGGAGACACTTATTCAGAGTCCCCCC